ATAGAAAAGCTGTATTCTTAAATAATATATTGTTGTATTTTGCATATTTTCAAACTGTCATATTCATGATATATTTCTCGTGTTTATACTTGCTACTTTACTTAAACTTTTCATTGTTCTATGGTAATCCATGAAAGTAATGAACCAAAATTTACTTATTCATTATTCTCTCTATGAATACAGAATCTATCAATATATATATTGTAATATGTATATATGTCAAATTAATATATACATATATATCAATATATTATATACATCAAAATAATGTATACGTATATACACTTCAGGAAAATAAAAAACTTGTATAAATATTTTAATACTGTATTTATTGAGACATCATGAGATTAATACAAGTTACCTTTGGCCTCTAAAATTATAAGAGGTGTTCAGAGTGGTGGCCATTAGTGTCCAGACATTTATTAGTTTGGTGAGTTATTGCTTGGGTAACCCTGGTCATTGAGATTGCTGCACATGCATTTTCAAATTCTTATCTAAGGGTCAGCAGTGTAGTGGGGTTTTTATGACACACAACATCCTCTAGGGTCTCCCATATGAAGCTATTGAAAAAACATCATACTATTTTTCTTTTCTTGAAGTGTGTATAGATATGCATTATTTTGATGAACTCTGTGTATCTGTTTTTGCTTATTATTTAAGTTTTGTTACAGAAATATTGCTATGAACTACCTTGTAAATGTACCTGGCAGTAAAATACAAGTTTCTTTAGGAATATTTGTAGATCTGGAGTCACTGAATTTTAGGCTATGAAAAAAATCAATAAGTAATTCTGATTTTTCCTCAAAACTGAGTTTCAGTTTTATAGCTATCAGCAGTGTGTAAATGTTCCAGTCTGGTTAACCTCATTGGAAATTGAGGAAAAATAATATCATCATATTCTTCAGCTTTTGAAAATTTGATGGATATAAAATAATATTTCAATGTAGTTTTAATTTATACTTGTATTTGTGGACCCTTTTATATTTCTTTTTCTATGAACTGTTTTCCATATTTTAGAGGGTTGTCTTTTTCTTCTTGTTTTTAAAACGCTATAGATTCTAGATAAATTTCCCAGTGGTTGTGTATTTCAAATATCTTCTCCAAATTATTCCCTACTTAAAAAAAAACTCTATCACCTTTTTTTATTGAGTTTATTGGTACATTTTAAGTATACAGTACAGTTACATTCATTATTGGAATCTTGTACCTTTACATGACAGGTCTTTGTTCTCATTTTTTCCCTTGTCCCTGCCTTCCCTATCACCTTTTTTTATTGAGTTTATTGGTACATTTTAAGTATACAGTACAGTTACATTCATTATTGGAATCTTGTACCTTTACATGACAGGTCTTTGTTCTCATTTTTTCCCTTGTCCCTGCCTTCCCTATCACCTTTTTTTTTATAAATACAAGTCAATGAATTTATTATACTCTATCAATGATTTACACCTTAACATATTTGTACACTAATTGTATTTCTCAGATATTCAACTATATTACCTTTTATAATATTTAAAGTTTGACCTTTCCTAAAATTTTTAATCCACTTGGGATTATTTTCTCTGCATAACATGGAGTAGGGGCTGTCAACAATCCAAGAGAGTCTGAGATCTTACTCTGCTTTCAAGCTTACAAATCAGCCTGCCACAGTTTTGTTAGTAGTGGCAGAAGGCGCAAGATTTTCACATTCAAGTGTCAGAATTCATAGCAGTTCCTCAGACCTCAGTTCCCATGAGGTGATGCACAGAAGGTCAGATGATTATTGCACAAATGATGAATAGCATTATAGGCAAGGGACCTACACTTAGGGAACCCAAATCTTTTAAAATGGATAGTAGGCCTGTCCGATTTTGACCCAGGCAAACATTTCAGGCAAAATTATTCTTCACTCCAGAAGAAGAGATTACCTCTGTTTTTCAGGGAGTTCTGTTTAAAATCACCTTTGAAATGAGAGATTAGAACAGGGTCAGCCAGAGTTTTTACTTTTAAGACATGCAGAAATGCTGAGGTCCATAGAGAATCATTTTCCAGTAGGGATCTGTTTTTACCCCCCTCACCCAGCACATTAAGGACCAATTGTCTCAATAACATAGCTTCTTTCTCCAGATGTCTGCAGTGCAGACCTTACAATAATCAGATTTCCACCCAAGAGTGCATGTGTTTCTGGGCTTTCGAGTCTATTAATTTAGTTTATCTCTGTGTCAGTTCCTCACGTTTATACTTACTAAAGCTTTATAGTAAGTCGCGATCTCTCTGACAGCAATTCTCTTTCCCACATTGTGGAAAATACCAAATACCCACATTGTTCTTTTTCAAAAATATATTTAATATTTTTGTCCTTTCATTCTTTCTTAAATTAAAAAGTACGCTTATCAAGTTCCAATGCAAAACACTTTGTGCTCTCATTAGTTTTATGCAGGTGTTTCTACAGTGCCACTTCCCTCCACGGTAGCTCAAAGTTCTATTTCTTGTACACTGCATGTGTCTGTTTAAAAGCTGAAATTGTAGTCATCAGACATCGTGGGCAGATGGCCTGGGACAAATAGCAGCTTCAGCTCATTTATTTCTCTGCATGCATCCTTTCAGCTTCTCAGGACTTTTCTTGCCTTTGTTGTTTTGCAACGTAGCAGTGCATTTAAAATATGCTGTGCATATTTCATCTAACATTTTAGGAATTTTTACTGGGAGCAATTTTCAGGATATCCAAACCATTTTGTCAGAAACTGAAGTCTTGCATCAGCATTTGCTTTAAAATGCTTTAATCTTTCAAGATTGTGATTTGCGCCAGTATATGTTTAACAAAATATGCTCGAATTGAGTAAGATTTCAGGTGGTTTTCTTTGATGCTGCTGCATTGTTCCCAAATGACCCATACGAATCAGACATTAACCTTCGTGCATAAGATGACTTTTCCTCTTCTTAGATCTTTGAAAATTAAAAATATTTCAAACATACAAAAAAATAGTATAATTTAAATCTCTGTACTTCCCACCAAGATTAGTCAAATGTTAATATAGATTCCATTTTCCTCAATTGTATGGTTATATCTACTTAGGGTTTATATCTACTTTTTCTTTTATAGGATTATATTACAAATTTAATTTTATTAAAAGTACTTTTTCTGTACAGTAAATATCCATTTATAAGTCTATCCTCTACAGCATAGTTTTGGTAATTTTTAAAAGTTTTTGTTAGTTCATGCTTGCATTACATAATGACTACATTTGTTTGAGGACTTGGTACATGTACATAAGAGATCCCAATTCTTTTTTCATCCTCTTTCCCTCTACTCCATCCCGTCTCCTTCATCTCTTGATCCTCTTCCTATTTGAAAAATATTTCCCTGTTTCCTATTATCTATCTTTTATTTTGTTCTTCATTTATAATTTGGGTCTCTTCTATAAGAGAAACCATGAGATGTTTAAGCTTGTGTGTCTGATTTGTTTCACTTAACACTATTGTCTCAAGGTACATCTGTCTTCCTACAAATGACTGAAATTTAACTTTCTTATGGCAGAGTAGTATTGGATCATTTCTATATTGTATTTTCTTTATCCATTCAACCTTTGATGGACATAAAGGCCTTTTCTAAGATTTAGCTATTATCAATTATGCTGCAATAAACATGGGTGTGAATGGATCATTGTAATATGATGTCTGTAATTCTTTCAGGAAAACACTTCGAAAGAGAATAGCTGAGTCAAGTGGAATTTTTAGTTTCAGTGTTTTAAGGAATCTCCATAGTGATTTTCAGAGTGGTTGTACTAGTTTGCAGTCCTACCAACACTGTAGAAGCGTTCCTTTCTCCCCATAGTCTCATCAGTATTTTTTATTATTTGATTTCTTGATGATAGCCATGCTTTGTGGAGTAAGATGAAATCTCAGAGTTGTTTTAATTTGCATTTCTCTGATGGTGAACAAAGTGGAACTTTTTCCCACGTATTTATTGTCATTTATGCTTTTTCTGAGAAGTGTCTATTCATTCCAATTACCCAGTTTTAGATTAGGTATTTAAATTTAGGGGGTCAAATATCTTTGAGTCCTTTGTATATTCTAGATGTTAGTCCACTGTCCAAAGAATAGCCGGAAAAAATTTTTTCCCGCTCTGTAGGTTGTCTCTTCACTCTGTTTGGTTGTTTCCTTTGCTGCGCAGAAGATTTTTAATTTGGTATGACCCCATTTGTCAGTTCTTGATACTATCTCTTGTGTCATTGGGGTTTTTTGAGAAGGTCCTTGCCATACCTATGGCTTCAATAGTTTTACCTATTTTATCTTCTGGAAGGTTAAGTATTTCTGCTTTATCTTTTTCAGGTTTCTTTTTTTTTTTTTTCCTTCATGGTGCTGGGGATCAAACTCGGGCCCTTGCACTTGTGAGGCAGGCGGTGTAACCACTGAGCCAAATCCCCGGCCCAAGTATTTCTGTTTTAAATATTTAGTTTTTGATCCATTTCAATTTTAGTTTAGTACATGGTAAATTATATGGGTTTAGACTAAATGTTCTGCATATAGATAGCCAATTTTCCTAGCACCATTTACTTAAAGAGGCTACCTTTCCTCCAATGTAATTTTTGGTTCTTTTGTCAAAGATGAAATAGCTGAATGTGCCTGTGGTTATTTCTGCTTCCTCTACTGTGTTCCATTGAACCATGTGTCTATTTTCATGCCAATACCATGCTGTTTTTAAATTTAGACCCATAGAACTGAAAGTGTAATGCATTAGGATGAACTTTGTTTTAAATCATTGTGTATATTTACTTGCTTAAAACTAATCTTTAGGATTGTAATATTATAGATAATTACGGAAGTTAAAATATTTTGCAATATTTTTATTATTTAATATTTGTAGCTCCTGAAAAGGACCTAGTACTGGTTTGGATAAAAAATATGGTGAATATATATTGTGCACAATGCCTTGTATACAATTCAAATCATGTTAACATCTCTAATATTAAAAATGAAAAATCATGATTTGTAAATTCTTGTCCCCCTTTTTTCCTCAGGTATTTATGAGCCTCCATTTCTTATACTACTGCAGTGAACCAACCTTGGATGTGAAAATTGCCTTTTGTCAGGTGTGTGTTCCTTACAGGTAAAACAAGGTACAGTATATTCCTTGTATTTCTACTTTGCCATTCTGTCTTGTATATATTAACATAATTACTGTTTGTATAACTTTAAAAACAGCTTAGGAATTACAAGTGGATTCTTGGGTGTATTTTTTTTCCTTTTCAATACATTTAGATCCAAATAGGAGTGAAGAGAGTTCTTTCTGAACTAAGATATAGTATTTAATCACTGTGCAAAATGATTTATCAGATTTCATTTATGCTTAAATGTATAATATTTCTTGCCAAGTGATATAAGGTTTTGATCACCAAAATAGCTTAAGCCTGTATTATTATTATTTTACATCCTAGGGACGGATGAGCCCAAATCTAGTATTTTTCACACCCACCTATAACACTCTCTGATGTCTAGTTGTAACAAGTAGTTAATAAAAAAGCTAAACAACTGCAAGGACCAATAAAAGTGCATTTAACTACAAGGAACTGTAAGAAGACCCTAACAATGGTTGACATTTTTGCATGGTCCAAGTCAGTCTGTATCTGTGTATTCATACTAACTCTATTCTTAAGAAAGTATCTACCTAGGGTGTCTATCACCTCTTCAAGTATGTTGAGAGTAGTCCTAGCCTATGCTTGCTATCATGGTATAATATACAGGGCTCCCCTTTAATTTCAAGAATTGTTCCAGTTCACAAAGTAAATTTATGCAAACCGTATTCATACTCCATGCAGAAACTTTAGTCTTTTTATAGTGATTATGATTGAAATATTTCATTGAGTGGTGTTGTAAACAGAAAGTAGCATGCAAAGAAAATTTAATTTGAAACAGAATGACATAAAACAAGGTTTAATTTTAAAAGGCAGATCTACTGCTTCTGTTATTTTAGTACAACCTTTACTGATTCTAGAAGTAACATGGGCTTGTCATAGAAAGTATAGAAAAGGATAAAGTTTAAAGAAAAGGTTGTCTTTGTGTCTACTGTCTGTTTCTCTGGTATCTACTCTCTGAGCATAGTTAGACTTTCTAGGGAAAAGTCAGGTGTTACCTGCCTTGAATAAGATTTACTGAACTGCCTCACCTCCTTTTCTTGTAAATGTTACAATTCCTGAAGCCTCAAGCTCTCATACAACTTGTTTTCTCTAATAGCAACTCTGGTTCTGGATAACATTGGTGAGAAATTTCACATCTGCCAATTAGTCACCTTGTGAATACAGGAAAGTTACTTAAGATAAGAGCTGGTGCTTCTGTTTTTTTTTTTTTGTTTGTTTGTTTGTTTTTTCATTTGTGAAAGGGTAAAATAATAATTTCTTCTTGCTGGGGTTGTTAGGAGAATTCAATAAGCTTACACTTGCAAATCATTGACAATGGTGCTGGAAAATGTTTGTTACAGAGATAGTTAAATTTTAAAGAAGTTTACCTTCACACTCTGGTGCTTTCCTTGAATCTGAGAGATTTAAATATTACGTGTCTCTGAAACAGTTGCACAGTTTTACCTTCAACTAAAACCACTCCCTGAAACTAGACTTCCATGCCTGGCTGCCTGGTTCTACATCTCCAATTAAATGTCATGTTGGCACCTCAAACTGTACACATTCAAACCAACCCCTAATCTTTATTTCAAAATTGTCCCCTTATTGTCTTCTTCAGTTCAGCAAATGCTAACTCCAACCTTCTGGTTAGCATAAAATCCTTGGAATCATGTTGTGAGCGCCTCCTTGCCCCACCTACACGCAACATGCCAGCTAGTGCTGTTGACTCTGCCTTCAAAAGGTATCCGGTCTCATCATGTCTTATCATTCTCTCAACTACCACCCTGATCCAAGCTACCTTTGCCTCTTGCTTGGATTATTGCAAAACTTCTCCGGTTGCTTACCTCTAAATGTGTAATTCTCCAAACATCAGTGAGAGTGCATGACTCCTCTGCTAGAAACAAAGCAAAAACCAGAAAATCCTTTCAGTTTCTTCCCCTCTCACTTGGGAAATCCTCAAGTAATTCCTAAGTTTATTATGCGGCCCCTGAAACTCTTCTCCTGAAATGCTCCATTCCTGATGCCCACTTGGTCCCTACTCCCTTCACCATATTCAGGGCTTTGCTCAAATATTGTTTTGAATTGACTCTTTTCTGACTATCCTGCTTAAAAATATTCCTTCCTACCCCACACTGCCTGTTCAGCTTCCCTGCTCCTCCTCTCTTCCCTCACCAAACTGTCAGTCACTCACAGACTATATATGTTGCTGGTGTGGGATGTTGTTTTTCTGTCTCCAGGAGAAAGTGTCTTGCATTGGGTAGGAAATGTTTTCTGTGTCTTGCTGGAGCCAGCAGCACACAGGCTCATGAGAAAGTGAATATCTCTTCTCAACTCAAGTTCAGTGATTTTAGGTTGGTAGCTAGAAATCTGTCATAGTTGGAGTTTTCACATTTTAGGAATGAGCAAATACAAATAAGTCACTTTCCCTCTCTCCTGTCCCCAGCCAGTCGTCGGCATTTACAACACACAGTTGGAATTTAACTTCTGTTTGATGCTGGACTACAATGCTCACACTAGTGTCTAGGCTCTCACCAAACACATGCCCAAGAAGAGAAGGATTGAGGTGTTTTGTCATGGAAGTAGTCACCACCTTGGGGAGAGAGCTGGGTTTGAATGTCTGGCTAGCAGGTCCAGGCCCTACCCCTGAGCCATTTCGTCAGCCTCCATGATCCTAGACATTAAGACTTAGAAACCAACCAATGACCCAACAAAGAAATTTGTACTTTTCATATTTCCTAAACCACAAACAAGTACCAATGAAAACATCTCAAATACTCAGCCATTTTTTTAAAAAAATTCAAAATAGCTTTGTGTGGGCTGAAGTTATTTTTCAAACCAACCTCTAGCACTTGGGGACAGATGTAGATGTCTATTTTTAGTGAGAGTTCTTTTAAGCAAAGGAATAAAAGAGTGAAGTGTGAGCTTTCTTAATGGCTCTAATTTTCTTGCTCACTCTGAGCTTCTGATACTTAAAAAATTTACAAGTACATTCTAATAACATTTAAAAAAGTATTAAAGTATAACAGCAAGCAGGGAGTTTCCAGTTGTGATTTAGAGCTTCTTATTTTTATTTTCCCTATAACTCTGTGCCTCATTTATTTCTTTAGTAGTTGGATGAAAATATTGTATTTATTTTTAAAGGCAGATTTATCAGAGTTTATTTCCAAGTTGGTTTTTGGAAGCTTACCATTACAGAGGGCATCTCACACATCCTTCATAGGCTATGGTGTTTAAACTCATCACCAGCAGGGTTAGTTTTCTTCTTAATTTCCACTCCACAGACAATATTGACAGATATTAAGTAATTTGTTAACGAAGAGTTAGCGATCAAATATGTCCAGAGCCTACCTACTTCCTGCTCAGCTTCTCCCCTCCCTTCTTTCCCTCTTCCTCCTTCCCTTCCCTCCCTCTCTCCCCTCCTCCCTCCCTCCTTCCCTCTCTCCCTCCAGATTTCCTTCCTTGCTTCCTTCTTTCTTGTGGTATTAAGAATTATAACCCAGAACTTTGGCCCGTTTTAAATTTTTTCCTTTGAGACAGGGTCTTGCTAAGTCAGTAAATGGCCCAATACTCATGATCCTTCTGCTTCAGCCTCCCAGAATGCTGAAATTATGTGCATGCAGCAAAATATCAGGTTGAGAAACCACGTCTCTTTACTTTGGGGCTTTCTTTATTATTTTATATTTCCATTTTCCCACTGTCATCCCTTTCAAAAATAACCACAGAAAAGAGAGAGAGAGTAAAATTACTTAGATATTATACACCAGCAGAAAACGTACATTGCTGATAATAGACTTAACTTTAATTCCTAATTGAATTGGTGACTTTTCAAGGGACTCTTATTAATTTTTTTGTTGTTTTAAAACCCAAGCAAACAGATTTTGCAGCAAGATGTTTCTCGTTATATCCTAGGTAGAACTATTTCTTTGTAACGTTAGATAATAGAAGGATAAACTTTAGTTCCCACTGGTCTGACTCCTTTTCAAAGTATATAGGTCTGCAGAGAATTTAAGTGCACAGTTTCTTGTTCCTCCTGGAAAAGATGTAAGCTGACTTAGCCTTCTTTTCTCAATTGAATAGGCATACGGAGCTGTTACATTTCACTCTATGAATAAAAAGATCTGTGAAAAGTGTTATTTTTGGAACTTTGCTGCACTGAGCAGATGAGTCAGGGTTTTAACCAGGGAATATATTTACAGAGATCAAAGCGTGTTGGAAACTCCATCCACTCCCACTGGCATCTGCAGGATCGATTACATCCTGTGTGCGATATGTGAGATTTTCAGGTGTGTCTTTGTCTTTGTCTTTGTTTTTGTACTACCTGGGCAATCCTGGGGCATCTCACCCTCGATTCTGAGGCCCAGAAGTTTGTCTTAGCCCTGTAAATGCTTAAGAAATACTTTTGGAATGAATGAACAGAAATACAAACAGCAGAAAAGTAAAGAAGAGAAGAGTTAAAAAAAGGAAAGTTAAGTAGAAATGTGTTTGGTTGCTTCTCAAACCGGATCAATTTTTCAACATTTTTATAGCTTACATATTCCTACATTTAGTTATGTTTTGGTTATTTTACTGGTCACAGATCATAGTAGCCTAAGATTAATCTAACAGTTATTAAAATATCATCTTTTCTAAATGTTTTACCAGTGCCTGACTTAGTAACACATAATTTTAAATGACTTCATGATTTTAGTAAAGCCTGACACATAGAGGACTCTAATTAATTAATCAACAGAGCATAAGTTCAAATAAAGCTAGAGATAAAGGGCAATAAGCTAAGTCTCGCTGTGCTTTTGGCTGTGACACAGATTGTGTGGCCCCTGATGTTGTCTGTGTCAAAAAGCAACCTGTGCATTGGCGGGCTGATTGCTGATTTCACCATTAATTTATTAGTGCCTATGTTATATATTATAGATCCGTTAATTAGTTTGGTTTAATCATTCTATACTTTATACATACTGCATCATTCTGTACCCCAGAAA